ACAACCCCGCTGTGGCGGAACGCCCTTAGGTAACCTTGCCTACAACCTACCTAGATACCAGAAATCGTCTGTGCTTGTGGCTCAACCTTTCCTTACGGGATTGCCCGCACAGTGCTCATTGAATGAGGTACATTTTCTGATCTACAATGCGTACCCGTCGCGTCTGGCCAATTCAAACCGCGTCTGTCATAAACACTTACACCACAACCCACAAGTATCTTCTGAACCGCCAACTCCTACCTAGTCCAGTCAAGTCTACAACCCCCCCTCCTCCTGTCCTCTCCCATCTTCTACCACCACATCAATATACCTAAAAAATATTTTGATCAGTTTTCTTCTCTGTATGCCTCTACTACTGCCCGGTATTTCCTACTACCCTTGCCACGAGTATTAGACGCGTTTGCCGGCCTATCTTTCTCTCTCTCTTTTTTTTCTTGACCTCACCAATTCGTAGCCTGATCATCGTTGCTACGCCTAAAACCACCTCTCGGCTGTTCTCATGAATCCCCCGTAGGAGTACTCCCACACGCGTCCAGGCTCTCTCCAACTATGTATCTGCCTCCCGAGCTCGTGTCAAAACTATACACCCACCTACAGAACACCCGGCACCCGTTATCTCCACCCGTTCTTATCCTCGTCGCGCTCGAACCCGATGCCCTCTGCGCCTGTCGCATCCTGACCCGGCTTCTCAAGCATGATTATATACCGCATAAGATACACCCTGTAGCTGGGTATGGAGACCTTGAGCGCGCAGGGAGGGAGCTGGTTAGCCCCATGATGGAGACGCGTGGTGGTAGCGGAGGGGTTGTCATATGTCTTGGCGTGGGCGGCATGGTTGATATGGGCACTATCTTGGGGCTTGAAGTCGAGGGAGAGGAAGCTTCTTTTGGTGGTGTTGAAGTATGGGTAATCGACTCTCATCGCCCTTGGAATTTGGCCAATGTCTTCGGCGGATATCCCCTGGAACCGAATCCTGATCCAACCGCAAGCTATCAGGCACGTGCTCCTGAAGGCGTGCGTGCAGGCCGTGTTGGTCCGTCGTACAAGCCTGGGAAAGGTGGCATTGTGGTTTTTGATGATGGCGACATACAAGAAGAGCTTGGTGCGGAACGAGATGCATATCTGGCATTGGTCGACATGCCTGAAGTTGAGGACGACGGCGAGGTTTATGGCGACAGTGATTCTGAAAGTGAAGAGGAGGTTCAGGAAGAGAAGCCGCGGCCAGGCCAGAAACGGAAATCCTGGTCAGACCGGGATGAAGAGATTAGTGACGACGAGGACGATCGACCGCGGCAGCGTAGACGAAGCAACTCTGTAAGATATACCTTGCTGCCCCCTCTCGAAGATTTCAGGCTAACTCGACGATGCAGTCTTCATCAATCCCGGATTCACCACCCCGTCCTGCTCGGCGTGGCTTGGTGTGCTTGCAAGATCTAGATACTATAAGGTCTGATGATGTGGAAAACCCACCATCTGCGGCCCAGCCTCCCAAGGCCCCGTCAGCTCGTACCCTTCGAAGGAGACTACTTAGGATGCGAAATGAGAATGAAACTGTGCTACGAAAATACTACCGTATGGGAACATCATACTCGGAACCCATTACAGCAAGAATATACGCGCTAGCATCGGAACTAGGTCGAGAGGACAATGATCTACTCTGGCTAACTATTGTGGGCGTCACCTCAATGGAGCTATATGGCCGCTCCTCGGCTGGCCTCGCTGTACCAGTTCGTGCATCTGACATGAAGCCAACGAATGGTTGGATGGGAGTTCGCGGTGCGCGGATACGCCAACTTTTAAGAGACGAAGTCCGGCGTCTTAATCCACCAGATATCGGGTCAAGAGATTCTAGAGCCGCGGCAGCAGAAAACGCAGGGATTATTCCTACAACAGCCCGAAGTCCCGAAGACACCAGTATCAGACTCTCCCCCGAGCCCAAGTTCCTGCTGATCCGACATTGGAGTCTGTATGATAGCATGTTGCACTCTCCTTACCTATTCTCGAGACTACGGATATGGAGTGAAAGTGGTTTGAAGCGCTTGCATAAACTTTTAGCCAAGATGGGTGTCAGCTTGGTGCAGTGCAAACAAAGTTATACTCATATGGACATGATGGTGAAAAAGGAGTTGCGCACAAAGTTGCTCAAGTATGCGTCTTTATATAACCTTGACGACATGGTCCCCGGCACAGAAACAGACGGCAGGGATCGGGCTGGGGCTAAAGACGGGTGGGGTTTTGTTCGGAGTTGGGGCTGGCGAGCAACGCTCAGCGCACAAGATGTCGGCGTGGTTATCGGTGCTCTCCTCGAAGTTGGGAAGCACAATACAATAACCGATGAAGACGGACGCGTCAGGGCAAGCCAAATCCAGGAACCCGAGGATGACGGCGGTGTAGCTGAAGCGCAAGAGTGGGTCAGCCGGTTTTGGGAGGCCTACGATGCTCTTGAAAAGTAAGTTTTATGAGAACGATTGAGAACGATCCAGATCAAATGATACTAACCTACTCTAGCATCGATGCTTTAAAAGCTGGCTTGCCTACAGCACAATATCTTCACCGTGCCATTTTCCGAACTGGCACATCGCTCATTGGCAAACGACAAATAAAACATTTACATGCTTTCCGCATGTGCGTTATCAAGGATGGGCCTGATGTTCCCCTTTTCACCCATCCAGCAGCACTCACCAAACTTGCTCTCTGGATTGGAGAGGCCCTTGTTGAGCAGGAGAAAGACTCTACGGGTAAATTAGCCAATGGCGGACGTGGCACACCACTTGTCGTGGCAAGCCTAAATGAGAAGCGAGGAGTTTACGTCGTCGTCGGTACCGGCGGAGGTGGTGGCCCTGATCTAGCCTTCCTAGATCGGGAAGCGGCGAAGGAAAAGCAAGCTGTCAAGGAGGCCAAAGCCAAGGAACGAGAGCTTAAACGAAAGAACAAGGAGAAGATTAAGGAAGAGAAGCGTGCTGCCAAGGCCGCAGCCGGCGACGATGACGAAGACGAAGACGAAGAGACCGAATCAGAGGCAAGTGATGCGTCGGATTCGGACTCAGACTCTGAAGATGAGTTCGAAGAGCGCAAACAACGCGGATACGGTCTCAACAAATTTGGCGGTGCCTTCCAAGACGTTGTCAATGAGACGAATGCCCGCGTACGCATCGACAGCTTTGAGCACTGCGTCGTCGAGGTTCGGAAAGAGGATCTCGGTGGATTCCTCGAGAGCCTTAGCATGAAAGCTGTTGTCGGCTAGTATGCCTTGCCGTCAACTAATTCTCGTCCCCCTATTATGACTTCAACGGACCTTGTTTTAAAAAGAAAATTCATCCGGCGGCGTTCTGGCGGGAAAGGATTGCACCCATCACTTGACATTACATTCTATTCCTTATTGATTGCTAGCACACGTACATACAGGAGAGGGGGCTTGGGGAGGGAAACAAGAATCAGGCAGGCTAGCTAGCCAAGGATCACTCTGCAACGGCAGAAACATTTTACAATAATGATGCAATGCATGGAAACGAACAGATTCTGGGAGAGACTTGGCGCCGAAACTCGAGGTAAGGAGAAGCATAAGGTTGGAAGGAAACTCGCTGCTGTAGTTATATCATCATCATCATTGTCATCATAATCATTACTCGTGTTCAAGCTTGGGACGGATGATGGGGATTGGAAAGAAAAGGGAAGGCGGCGAGGCGGATTGGTTTGAGAGAGAGGGTGAATTCTCCAATATTTGATATATCCCAGGTGGCGAATATATACACATGCTTTTCCCCCCTTTTAATTGCCGGCCTAGGTTTTTATTTTTATGAAGTTTTATGTTTGTATTCCCCCATAGATGTGTTTTTAATCTTGTATTCTTGCTGACCACGATGGCATGTTATATTAGAGAGGCATCAAATGTATTTGTACCGATTCACTACCTATTTTGAAGTATAGAGTACTGTAGCATAGGGCATCATTTTGTATCGATCAATAATCTGATTGAAATATATCTGGTATCTGTAGTATGTAAGTAGTTTAAAGGTGTCTCTTGGTTTGTTCTATGAACTTGTTGTTTTCAAGGTTGTTGTCCACTTACCTACGTAACATTAAAGTACCTACCTGCCCAATGGCAGTACACGAGATGATGAAAAGGGGAATACCAAGTAATGAATAACTGAGTACCTGCATAAACTTTATTAGTAGTTAGCAGCAGATGTCTGCACTGTGGATGTAGGTATGTAAGTCCCTACTACTAAGGTACAAGTACCTACCTAAGGTTAGGTAGTATGTGCCTAGGTAGTCCCCCACTGCTATGATGCAATGCGTTACCAAGGTTCCTCGCTCCCTAGCAAATAGCACAAATCTACTACCTAGGTTAGCACATCCAACCTTACTTATAGGCCCCTTACATCGTTAAGAACTGGAGATCTCAGATTCCAATACATTGATGGCCAGATTCCAGCCACTTAAGTTAGTGACATTGTACATTGGGCTTGCTAGGTAATAAGCGTCGCAGTGTTGCTTTTTCATCATGATCTCTCTGGATAATAAATAACATAGGTAATGCCCATTCCGATTATAATCCCTGTGGGTTTTGTGACACACCTACCACGTACGACTAGCATTAGATTTTAAGAAAATAGAGGAAGCAAGGCAGGATTTAAAATGCGGATGTTTTACATGCTAGGAGCCTACATAGGTATGTAGCTAGGTAGGTATCTATCATCTTGTTTTCATTCATTAAGTCTACTTATCTTATGTAAGTAGGTAGTATCGGAAGGCTTAATAAGACATCTCAACTCACTAAGCCGGAGGGCATGGCTGACCTCTGAGTTGTGCGCATACCTCCATAATCCTGCTATTCTACCCATCCTTTACGCTATAGGTATTCCATACCTAGGCATACAACATAATGAAAAACAGAACCGGAAGGGTATTCAAGATACATCACCTCACTGCTAATATCAACTACCTACCTACCCTACACATACCAACATGTAGGAAAATAACTAACTAATATTCATCTAGCGGGGTTAGTTCAGTTGGGAGAACGTCAGACTGAAGTTGAAACTTCATTTAAGCAAAATCTGAAGGTCGTGCGTTCGATCCGCACACACCGCAATCATCATCCATGGGTCTAGGTTTCTCCTTCCCTTTTTACTTCCTTGAAACATTGGTAGTACTTGACGGACTTTATCTTTTGCACTAGTGTAGTACTCACCTTGATACAGACTAGGTAGATTGATAGACCTTTGCTGGTTGGTGGTACTTCCGATAACACCCGGGGTCTTCCATATGACAAGGGACTTACTAGTAGCGAGTATCTGATTCTGACGTAAGTATTTGTATACATGTAGGCAGCAGCAGAGTGGGAAAAGATTCTGCTATAGCCTAGGCGCACATGGGGGTTTCTGGGAGTGGTATTTATACGGTAAAAATACCATACTTACACGGTATATATACTACTCCTTCTTTACGAGCTAGATTTTTTCCCCTTCGCAAAAACAGCAACCGCAATGCTTTCGCTCCTTCTGAAAATAACAAAATAATTACCGTTATATATACGCGAGCCGCTCGAAATTTTTTAAACGTTTAAAAAAAATGAAGTTATATAGAAATGGAGTGGTATTTATTCTGCATACATACCACTCTGTACAGTATTTTTACCACTCATTTAAGTAGTACGCCTTATAATTTTAATAAAAAAGATCTAGCTCCTAAAGATTGCATTCTGACGGTAAGGTACTAGGTAACTATACATATCGGGTAGGTTCGGTCAACTAACTATATGACGCATGTAAGTAGCTAATACATTGGACTCGTAGTATGTATAGCAGTGATGTCACTAAACTGTATGTACTAAGTATTTATTTTAACCAGCGAGATCGCAAATGTTTCAACTTATTAGGTACATACCTAGGTTGTGGTAAGCTGGAGGTCCCCTTGGCCCCACTGCATCTATCCGTCTATCTATGTAGGTATCATCCATAGGTACCAACTTATGTTGATGCACCTTGCATATAGTGACGATTTATGTCTGACCAATCCAGCCAAGCTGTCTTACCAGTCCAGCCCAGTCCAAATCCAATACACTAGATTAACAACCCAGCAGCAACCAGCCCCGAGGGTACCGTTTTTTTTTTTAAACTTTTTACTTTTTACCTCTGCCAACTTCACTTATTACCACTGCTTTGCCTACTTCGTTACTTTGCCTTTCCCGCCTTTGTCAATCTCACCCTAGTCAATTCAAATCAAGGACTTGTCATTTGAAGAAACCTTCCCTCCGGTTTTCCCCTTTCAATACACCAGACATCCATTACCTTTATTATTTCTTACTATACTCCTGAGTGCATCAAAAACTTCAGTCCCTTTTTCCCCTTCTTTTTAGTGTTGGTACTCTTCTAGATTGCTTTTCTCTTTCTTATTAAGTTGCTCTCCTAATATATAAGGTGGGGGGTCAAAAAAAGGGGAGATAATAAGGAGAGGGAGATATCAATATAGAGAGAAAAAGAAATCAATCAATCAGTACAAGATAAAATAAAATAAAAAAAGCAAGAAAAAGAAAGAAACTGAGAGAAAGAAAAAAGAGAAAAAGAAAAAGAAAAGAAAAGAAAAAAAGAAAAAGAAGAATAAAAAGAAGAGGTGCGACGTATGAATTGAGGCTCTGGTCCCTTAGCGGCAGATCAAGTATTTGTTACTGTCACCGTTGCGACAACCCCACCTTATTAACTGTCGCATCATAAACATCACCCACGCCCACGCCCACGCTCACGCCTACGTCCACGCCCACACCCGAACCTGACGCAATAAGACAAAGGGAAGAAGAAGAAAAGCCGCCCCGATTCCCAATTCCTCGTCGATACACAATCACCATCATTACTCAATCGCCCTGCCATTTTGATAGCCGAACATGGGCAAATCGTGAGTATTCCTCCCCTCCTCTCAAACCCCTCGCAAGACCCACCAGAGACGAACGCGACAACTTCGGCCGGCCCATCGGCTTCTTTGTGTTTTGAACCCCTCGCAGCCTCTCTCTGTCTATCTCTCTCTCTCTTCCTCTCTACTATCCCGCCCTCCAGCCCTTCGAAATGCCCCTTCGTTTCCAGCGTTCTAGCACCAGCGATGGCAGGATTGGGCTAACACGCTCGCTACCTAGTCAATCCAAGCTCTCGCAAGAGCAACTAGCCGAACTCCAGAAGTCCACTCACTTCGACAAGAAGGAATTGCAGCAGTGGTATAAAGGTCAGCAGAGCATCATCGTCATCATCATCGTTCACCACCATTAGTTATCATCACCATCCCGCCTCCCCCTCCCCCCTCCTAGCTGCCACTACCACTATTTACATGTATACCATACTTCCTATCCTCGCGAAACCCTTCTCGTTGATTGCCTCGTCGTCATCGGCATCGTTATCGTCATCGTCGCCCTATACTTTTGTACTTATTTATTGACGCCCGCCCTTAGGTTTCCTGAAGGACTGCCCCTCGGGCATGCTCACCAAGGAGGAATTCCAGAAAATATACCGCCAGTTCTTCCCCTTCGGCGATCCATCCTCTTTTGCCGACTATGTCTTTAATGTCTTCGATTCCGACAAGTCCGGATCCATCGACTTTAAAGAGTTCATCTGTGCGCTGAGCGTCACGAGCCGTGGGAAGATGGAGGACAAACTCGATTGGGCTTTCCAGTTATACGATATCGATGGCGATGGCAAGATCAGCTACGACGAAATGCTCAAGATCGTAGAGGCCATCTACAAGATGGTAAGGGCAGAGAAACGATCCTGCTATGGCGGCGTCTCGTCGGTCATCGCTAATATGTCCCCGCTTGTGTCATTAGGTCGGTTCGATGGTGAAGCTCCCCGAAGACGAAGATACCCCGGAGAAACGTGTGCGCAAGATCTTCCGTATGATGGACAAGGACGAGAACGGCAGCCTAGACATGGAAGAATTTAAAGAGGGAAGTAAACGCGACGAGACGATCGTTTCGGCACTATCCTTGTACGATGGCTTGGTGTAGCCTCTGCTGTCCGTTTTATAATTTAAGAGGAGGACACGGAGGAATGGAGGAATGGGCAACCGTCGGAAGAGGCGGCCAGACACACCAGACACAGCACAAAGTGGGTATGGCATAAAGCGCTAAAGAGCATACATGGTGTTGATGAAGACAGGCCAGCCTGCCCACACCGGAGGGGAGGGTTGCTGTCAACCTTTTATTGTTTCCTATTTCTACGCGGGCGTCTCTGTATCAAGAGGAAAGGATAAATCTGGTTCTGGTTCTGGTTCTTTTTGGGCCACTCCGAGAAGCCCCCTTGCCTCCTCTTCCCTCTCCTCACCCCCTTTGCCCTTTGCTTTTGGTGCTCCGGACAAGTAGAGGTCAAATAATGCACAGCACCTGCACTGCCGCTGGTTGCCTTGTATCTAAATAAGGTGGTAGCCAAGTCGGAGCCAAGCCAGGCACAACGGGTCTACCCGGCAGTTCGTATAGAAATCTCTCTAGGCACCTTAGCGAGATACCTCGTCATGGTAATAAGTCATATGTGCAAACAAGAAGAAAAATCATGTTCTGAGAACCCTGATGAGCAGTGTAAACCGGTGCCCAACACATAGGTTGACATTGTCACATTCCATCCCGGCTGGGGGGGAGGCCTCCACCTTGCCTGCCTGTGCCTGCTTACTTACTGCCTACCTAAGTACCTAACTTGCCTATTTCTCGGTGTCACAAATAAAAGACAGATACCTCCCTCGCGTGTAACGCTAAAGTATTCTAGATTTCAAGTTGTTCTATATTTATTTATCGTGGGGTGGTTGATGTATGTAGGTTACTTAGTTACCTACCTAGTAGGCATGTTACCGTAAGTACCTTAAGAAGGTAAGTAAGCCGCAGTGGTCTAGCTTAGGTCACTAATCAGTTCTACCTAGTAGGTAGGCTAATAAGGCAGAAGAAAGTGGAAAAAGAAGCTGCCAATGGAGAGAACTTTGTGTGCACAATGGGGGGTTTTTTTTTGGTATCTCAATGACATCATGTTAGGCGCTAGGTTCTGTTCTAAGGGTCTAGAAGAGCCCGCCTACATTATGGATGGGCCCAATAGGATCAGTACCTACTTACTTACTAGGGAGGGAGGGAGAGAGGGAGGGAGAGAGGTAATGCCTATGTATACACACTACTAGATCTATATTGATAAATAGGGGGGCATATCAACATATCCATCAATACTAATAGGTTTGCTTGATCACGTAGATCGCATGGAAAGGGGAAGGAGATGGGGGGAAGGAGGAGGAAGGGTATTAGGGTAGGTAGGCAGATTACCTAGGTGTAGGTAGGTAAAATCAAATGGTTGTCGCGACTGAACATTAGGTATTGTCTGTAATGCTTTGCTTACTACATACTAGGTAGGCAAATTATATAGAGTACCAGACGTATGTATATGTGTGCACACACACGTTAATGGTAATTAGGTAGACAGGTAGGTATAAATGTTCACTGCACTGGAGTAATCATAATGCCATTGTAATGAATGGTCTTACCTATCCATATACATACGTACATACATAATGTAGTAAGTACGCATATTATATAACAGCATGTAGGTAATATCTATTTAAGTTTACTGTATAAAAGAAAAGGGTACTTATAAGTAGGTTATTTCTTTATGCTTAAAAAAAGACTGACACCTACGCACCTACTTACTTACGAATATAGTACATATTAAAATCGATGTAAACTAGATGGACGTACGTATGTAAGTAAGTACTAGGTATGTCAGTATACACGACGTTTGTGACGTCATATAAAAGAGGGAATATTTTATGTACCTAGACAAGATGCATGTACATAGTTGCTAATGGATAGGTGACCCACATTCCTCCCACTTGTTCTCCCGCACTCTCCCCCCTCCTCCACCTCCACCTCCCGCTCCTTTAAGTGATATGTACCTATATATAAGATAATAGATCTTAAGTAGTAGGTATTAATGTAGATAGATTAATTATGTTACCTACCTATTGATGTTACTACCTACTAGATATTATTGCCTGTACGTTTAATATACAGTAAACTTTCCTTATAACGATCTTATCACATAACGATACCTTGCTATAACGATAATTTTTGCGGTATACTG